ATGTTAACGGCCATCATCAAATCTGGTACAATAATAATAACCTAAACCATCGCGGTAATATTATTTATACCTCTTTTAGAAGCGTCAACACTCGTCAATCGCCCCCCTTTCGCCAATACCGCAGTCGACATAACCATCACTACCAATGCCCTATATTGGTCACTTTCCTGGTACCCTCTCAAGGAGCCCAGTGGCAGCGACCACTTTCCACTGATAATTAAACATCATGCTCCTTCAACACTTCTCTTAGCTGTTTCTAATCACGACACCACACCTCCAAAACTCAACTACTCCAAGGCTGATTGTTCTCTATTTTCCTCAAATCTTGACTCACTTATTAATCCATTTGTCTTCTCGAACTCCCCACTTTTTGTTCACATTTTGAATAACTCTGCGAACATTGCTATCCCAAATAAACGCATTTCCTCAAAATACCCAACAACCTCCCCCATCTGGTGGAACTCCACATGTTCTGAAGCTGTAAAACAACGATCAGCTGCTTTTAAAAAGTATAAACAAAATTAAATTAGCAAAAAAAAAACTCCTGGAAAAATATATGTTCTACCCTCAACCACTCAACTCCAATACAACACTTATGGATCACGGCTAAAAAAATTCAAAATGTGTGTTAACCGGACCAATTCCTCCCACAACGAGGAATGGTTTCCTACTTTTTGCGACAAAGTTGCTCCTCCATACGTTCCCTCCTTACAGGAATCTTGCCCAGCTTCCCTTTCATCCATTAGCAACATCAATCATGGTTCACAATGTTCACATAATATGCTATCCTCACCTTTCAGCTCTAAAGAACTCTCTTCAGCTATTTCTTCCCGGTCCTCGATAGCTTCGGGTATGGATGGTATCTCTGTAATCTTACTCAAAAACATCTCCAACAAAGCATCCGATTATCTATTACGTATTCTTAACGACTTATGGATCTCAGGCCTAATCCCACACTCTTGGAAACAATATCATGTCATACCCATCCCTAAACCCAATACTTCTACCACTGCATTTCGACCAATCGCATTATCCTCCGCTTTATGTAAAACTGTTGAATACATAATTAAAACTCGTCTGGACTGGTTTTTAGAAAAAAATAACCTCATCCCAAACAATTTATTTGATGATGGAGTTCTTGTCATCACTTGTTGGCCCAGTTTATAAAGCATTATGTAATAAAGAATACTTATGTGCTGCTTTTTTAGATATTAAAGGCGCCTTCGATTCCGTACACATTCCAACCCTCATATCTTGCCTTGCTTCTCTACAAATCCCTTATTCTGTTTGTAATTTTATTTCCTCACTTTTTTTCCAACGATTTATCAAATTTTCCTCGCCTTCGGGGATAATTTCAGATAGATCTACATACAGAGGCCTTCCTCAAGGTAGCTGCCTCAGTCCTTTACTTTTGAACATATACATGTCACCAATCTGCCTATCCTTAGACTCGCCGGACTTCCGTGTCCTATTGTATGCTGATGACATTGTGCTATTTTCCTTAAATAAATCTCTCGAATTATCCGACTTTACTTTAAACTATGCCTTAAAACAACTTTCTATCTCCTTAACTACAGCGTTCTTTACCACTGCTTCTGAGAAAAGCCACTTTATGATTTTTACTCGTAGACAAATTTTAGCACATCCTAATATGATCCTCAATAATCAAGTTGTTCAGCCATCGTCAACTGTCATTTACCTAGGCCTTAAACTCGATCCTAAACTTAGATGGGTTCCACACTTCCAATATTTAAAAGGCATAAAAGGTACGTGGCTAAAACACTTCCCATCCTTSCTTCTGTTGCCTACTCATTCTCTGCTTTTTCACCACTTGTTTATCGCCCCAGCCTCCGGCTACATATTTATGATACGCCTTACGCTGCACTCTCGTTTTTTCCTGAAATAACTGTTTCTCCCAATTTCCTTGGCTATTCCCCAAAAGAACTACMGCGTCTGCCTCAAACTCTGGTTGATTCTTTGTTTAACGAATATATCTCATATAATTTACCTAGCTCTGTTCAAATTTTTACTGATGGCTCGGTGTATCCTAACTCAGCTGGCTTCTCCTTCTTCATCCACTCGCTCAATATTTCTTTTGCTGACAAATTACATCCTCTGACATCATCATTCTCTGCTGAATGTTATACTATAATTAGCGCTCTGCAATTCTCTTTCACATTAGAATATAGTTATTTTCTTATCTTATCCGACTCACAATCATGTCTTCTTGCCATATYCTCTGATTCGTTTTTATCTGCCCTGTCTCCTCTTGTTCTCGTCATCAAATCCTTAGTATATCGTCTTAGTCTTGCTGATGAAACAGTTAAGTTTTTCTGGATCCCTAGTCATGTCGGTATAGCCGGTAATGAGCGAGCCGACCACCTAGCTTTTCCAAAAATATCCCTCATCTATTTTTCTCCTTTTAAAACACCTGCTTCAGATTTTCTTCCGATTCACCGCAAACTATTGCTAAATGCCTAGCAAACTAAATGGGACTCTCTACCTCCTAACTATGCTGCATGGCATAGACACATAGTTTCCTCTATTCCCAAACATCCGTGGTTTAAAGACCTCGAGATTTCTAGGCACCTAATCGTATCCTTCACTCGTCTTCGCATTGGTCATAGCTTATTTCCTCACCATTCTTCTAAACTTAATCTAAACTCTTCCCCTCTTTGTACACTACATCACGACGAATCGATATGCGATCTTGATCACATCCTTTTCAATTCCTCTTCTCTCATAACTAGTAGACAACTCCTTTTCTCTTTTCTTTCTTCTTTAGGCTATATTTCTCCCGATTCTAATCTTCTTCTCAACTCTCGTTATATCCCTATCATCCGTTCTCTGATCCAATTCATTCATACCGCTGGCTTCCTCATTTAACGCTAATATTTAATTACATTGTCTGTTATTTGTTTTGATACATAATTATTTTATAATTGCTTTGCTATAATTATTTTTTAATAAAATGCAAATTAAATAAAAAAAAAAAATTAAGAGTGTAATCTAAGGATATTAAACAATCTCTAATATGTTATACGATATTTGCATGACACATATTTTTACTAAATTGAAACACAAATTAAAATATAATGTTACCTAGATAAGGTAAAGGATTAAAAGATTAATTAATGAATGACTAAGAGATACCTTAAACATAATAGACATTTTATTTATGTTCTTGGATAACCATTATTCAAATATTCCCATTTTTGTTTTTGTTTAAAATAATATAAATCATTGATTAATAATGGAACTAAAATATTGTTTATATTGTTGCTAACTAATTAACCAAAGAGTAACTATAATTAAGTTTGTAACTATACTCGTATACTATTTACATGATACTTTGCATAATATTATTTTATTATTGTCATAATTGTTATTATATATACCTACATTTCAACTGATATTTGAGAACATTTGTACATAACAAAGTCTAAGACAGTTAGAAAATCAAATAATATATAAACAAAATAGATTGTTAACGTTACTTATGAATTATGATTTGGGTGGTAAAGAGTAATTTGTACAAGTTTATTATTCAGCACTCATAATTTAACACTTCAAATATGTTTATATTTTATCTAGGGATTCATGCTTCAMTGTTCTCATAATCAAGTATCTGAAGTATATATCTATTATATCTTATTGTTATTTTTCTGTTCTATCTAGTTAACTTTGACAAAAATATTAACCTTTGTTTCTCTTTTATCACACACACTTTATAACTCTCTCGAGATGTGACGAGGTATACGTCATGCAAGACACTATCGATACTCATATGATGAGTATATTTTTTATATACATAAAATACATCACTTTTTTCATAAATCCTATAAAAGTGGTCGTGTTAATAAATTATAACTTAACGTACAACATCCATTAAAACTAGCGTAACTCCAAAGCTTTCAATATTATAGACGTAATTTTATTAATATTTTTCATTTTAATACAATACCAATATTTAAGTTCATATAAAAAGGAAAAGAAATGTTTACAATATTATTTTATTATTTTTATAGTAATACTATTAATTTTCGTTTATCCTACGGAATTCCATTCCAAGGTATACCTTAGTAAGTGGGTGAATGTGTGTAAAAACCAATATTGGAAAACACCCTGTCTATTTCAACCAATCTATATATTGTAGTGATATTACGAATGCAAAATATTTTCTGTCTTATATCTTAGCTTTTTACTCTTATCAATTGACTATTGGAGCCTTCATGCAATAATTTATTAAATATAACTTTTTATTTCAATATCATATACCAATTGACTTATAGTTGTACTCAATTTACAGTTTTTATTTTATCATTTAGCGTCACTACTGGGGGGAAATCCATTTTTCTATTCTCTATTGAATACATAATTTATTAATTTTTTTATTATATAATTTAAAAAGCACAATTAACATGACGTTGGGGTCTAATACGATTGCCCACCAACGTAAGAATTGTTGAATTGATCAAAAAATTAATTTTAATTTTACAATTTTTTATTTACTTTACATATACACATTACTTACAAGAACAAAATACAACTTACTTTAATTAAGAAATTAGTATTTACGAGTATATACAGTAGGCACTATATCGGTATCTGGTCCCTACATAGGTACTCTAATATGAATATCTACTCAGTCACGTACAATATGTTTGTCAAAAATAAATACATTAAATTAAAGTTAAAATATAGAGACTTTTTACTATGCAATTTCTATTACCTATAATAATTTACAACTCCTGTATGTTCTTAAAAATCAAAAAATTTTAAATTCAATTTTTTATAAAATAAACAATTATAATATAATAGTATGCAATTGTGTTGTGCTTTTTTCATGTAATAAATAAAAAGGAAGGTAAAAGTATAAATAAAAATTGTGCTGTTCAGATACTTAATCACTGTCACAACATAACAGGTTCGTTTTATCAGTATTTGTTAACTATTATAATAGCCGTACGAATATAATTTTTAATATAAAAAAAACTTACTATGCTGATGAAAAATGTACACTAATAGAGAGCACAAAAGTTTTGTGTCTTGCCGAGGATCTCTGCTTTAGATTTTACTCGCACACTGATGTCACGGAAATGCTTAAGCGGAAGACGGTGAATGAACACACTTTTTTGAACCATTGAAGCGAACAACTACAGATGGCATAAGTGCGTTGGTACATTAGGTACTCGCCCTCACCACAATAGTTATATATGCGCTTTTACATATTATGAGAACGACCGTTTTCATGCGATATTTACCTAAAACAATTGATTAATTGAAATTAAAATTTACTTGACACATGCGGGTATGCACACAAATAAAGCACCTTATATGTGGAATTTATCGGCTCACTGATGTACGTAAAAAAAAAGCGACACAGTAGTATGCATAATGCAATTTAAACCAATGAAAGTCATTGATCATAAAATGAAATTAGTTCTAATACACTAAAAATAATTGGATAGATAAGATCAATTTTATTAGTTTCCCAGAAAAAAATAATAAATTAATAAATTAAAAATAACTCTCACGCTTTCATACATGCCTGCTAATATTCTAAAATTTACTTATTGTATCAATTGAATACAGATTGTAAGTATATACATATTTAAAAAATATTGGGTATGAAAAATAGAAAGTTTTAAGGTACATATTGTGAAATGAAGATTGTCACTTCATTCTAAAAATAGAAACGTAAGGTATTTTTATTTTCAAACAGTAACTCATATTAAACTAGCTGAATCCGTGCACTTCGTAGCCCGTTAAAAATCCTATCTCGTATATGTTTCAACTCTCAAAATGTGTGTTACATTTTTCATTTTACTATCAAATTTATAATTATAGTGTTTTATTTTAATTTAACCATAAACAAAGTATAAGGTAAACTTTTTATACCCAATGTTCAATGTTGATGAAGAGGGCAATTGCCTAGATGCTTCCTCAGCCGTTTTTTTGATTGCGCCTCTGTAGCTAATGCCCATAGTTGTCGGGCTTATTATTAATAAAATCAAAATAAATAATTATAATGTAGTGATTTTTTTAAATATTATTACTATATAGGTATTTATGTTTTTATATTTGTGTTATTTCCGTGTACGAAAGCGGAGACCATTTTTAATTATTTTAATATCTTGTAATTGTAATAGCAGTTAGTCTATCTGTCACCATCCGCCGAGTTCAGATGGTGCAATATTTTGTATAGTATAGACATTATCTTTAAATGCTGTCATTGTTTTTTTTTTCTAAATTAACATCCTGACGGTCGAATAATAAATGTAACCACCATATCACCAAGTTAACAACTCTTAATCGAATACCTCAATGTTTTTCTTACGTACCAAATATTAAATATGCCACAGAATCTAATATGGGAATTAATTGATATTCCTTTTTAAATAAAAACTAAATTTAAAAATAATATTAATATATTATAAAACAATTTCACTGTTATGACAACAATGTAAATGTATAATACCAGGCAGTGCCGACGACGACATAGCATTATTGCAGCAGACGTAGGAGTAGTGGGGGTTGTAAAGATGTGTGAGTGCACTACGCGGCAAACAACGCGCGTCGCTATGTAACAATAGCGCAAACTTTATACTTCCAATAACTATTTAAATAATTAATGTTTTGGACTTTTCTCATTAGGTTGCTCATCTACACACCAAATACTTGCGTTWAAAAAAAAAATCGTGAAAATCGGCCCGGTAGAAGTTTAGATATAACTGTCATAAAAAATCACCTCGCGTTTTAATAATATAATAGATTGGTGTTTAAATACATTTTTACATATTATGGTATCATATATTATTAATAAATGGTAATATTTTTTGTAAAAAATAATTATTAATGGTTATTATTGAATCCTTACATGGCATAATTAATTTCTAATCTATCGTGAATAAATTATGTTTTATCGCTATTTGTATTACCCATTTTCAATTATAATGTAGGTAGGTAAACCAATAAATATAATTATATTCCAATAAAAATAAAAATAAAAATTCTGCGTTTTCTGAAATACTTAACGCACCATTAAACTCTGACCTAGATTACACAAAATGCACTTTATTATTGTACTAGAAAAACATGATTTACAGWAGTAAGACCCTTAAAAAGGACAAAATCAATAGGCAATTTCAATGGCATGTTACCAAAGAAAAAATTACAGTTCACGTGAGTTAATAAAATTATAAATGATATAACTATTATAAACGCCAAATCGATCATTTTTTCTATCTAAATCAAAAATCTAGGCTATGGTATTAATAAATATAAAATCAATACATTCTATTTGTAAAACGCATTTAATTGAAGATTGAGGGCATGCATGTACAATACAGCGAGATACCATTTGATTAGACTTATACATTAAACTTTGGTGCGATAAATTATTATTATTATTTATGTTCTTTTTTACAATAGACAATGTATAAAATACGTCAAAATACGATTTTGGAAAGTGTTTTCAATTACCTTATAGTTGGACTCTTTATCTACCCAACCCTTTTTTTCTTTATAATTAATTATAATCGTTTTTCCACATTCTTTCTTTTGTAAACAAACTCGTAATTAATTGAATAAATTAAATAAATTAGTATCTTGTTACTAAAAAAAAGTTTAATTGAAAATATAAATCAAACGTTCAATACTAACCTGTATCTATAAAAAGACTAATTAGAAAAACATAAAATAAAATGTATTAAATATGACGTATAAAATAATAAAATAAATACTTTGTCTTGTCCATTTATAAATATGCCAAACCATAATATATTACTTCTTAAAATACGTAGTTGTAGATACCCATTTGGTTTTAATTATTTCATACCTAACCCTACTGAGTTGAAATAACTACTTTTTCATTAAATTTTTTTTTCTTGTTTTGCATTAACTTAAGTTTAATCAAGTATATAATTGGAACATTACAAAATATTAAAAGTCGAAGTATAATTCTGCAGTAAAACGGTTAGAGTTTAAATAATTTAAACAAAACATTCCAGATATATTTTTATGTTAAAATGTATATTTTGGTTATTTTCTTATATACGTCTGGAAAAAATTAATTTATGTTAAGTTTGATTTCTGTTATAGTATTAACTTGTTTTTCCTATACATACTTTATTGTATCTATATTTAATAGCTAATATACATCAAAATGTATTTATTTATTTATTCATTTTTATTATTATTGTCATATTTTTCAGTTAGATTATAATTATTGTAATTTTCAATATGATTAATATTGTTAAAATACTAGATAAAGTAAAAAATAAATATTAGAAAAAATCTAATAAAATTATAACGAAACATACCTAGAATTAATTAAATCATGATATCTGAATAATTTATATAGAAAAATATTAAATACTAATAATAATATTACATTACATATTTTACAATGCGTATAATATGGTAACTAGCATTTTATTAATTTTTAATATTTTACTTAGGTATCTACCAAAAAACTTCATGGAAATTAAAATAACATATGATATGAAATATCATAAAAAACCTATCGCTTTTAAGCTCGAGTTAAACAATGAGTCAATTTACTATAATATTAAAGATAACAACACAAGCTACAATATTAGTCCAGTTGGACACAAGTTTAACTAGGTACATATGCGTATTATTTTGTACGTGTTTCACAGAGAAAAGTAACATTTTTAAAATATTTGTATGGCTTACTTATGAAGAACTAACCTTGCATGTAGTAGTCAAGTTTTTTTAACTAAAAACAAACATTTTAACAATATAAACTGAAAACAAACTAAAAAAAAAAAATTGGACGATTTAAAATTCTTATAAATAGCATACCAATACCAATTCTGAATGTGTCTAAATATTTAATATTTTTTCGATTAGGTAGAACAACGTTGGTGGAATTTAAAAAAAAATATGTATTAGCGTTTATTGAGAATTTATAATTTATACCCTATTTACAATATGTAAACATGATGTAGTAGGAATAATATAAAATACTTTAAGTGTTGAATGACATATAGGAAGACTCACATTCGAATCACATTTTGCTGTGATATAAGGTAAAATTTATAAATAATATTTTATATTTTATAAGTTAAGAAGGTTTCTGCACCAGTTGCACTTGAGGTGTCTTATGGGATTGTTAGGAATAGTCTTAGAGGCCAGTTAAGAAATGAAGTGGTTATTGTTCATGAGGAGTTTCCTATAGAACTTTTTGTAAAAATTGATGGCTGTGTTGTGGACTGTTTTATTTAGAGGTCATCGTGAAGTAGTTTATTTATTACATACCATAGAGCTTTGACAGTGATACGCAGACAGATTGATTGAAATGCTAGGATCATTTAAGTTTTCGATTTTTTGGCTGTACTAGCTGGAATATCAGCAGTTTAAAAAATGTAGAGAAATAAGACGATGTCACTTCCAAGAGGAACTCCAGCTTGAGCTTCATGGTAGGGTGAAAGTCTGGTGTTGGTTCTGACTCTGAACAAACTGTTTTCAAGGTATGTCGTTAAATGTAAATAGTAAGGGGCTKATAATATTTTCTTAAGTTTAAACAGTAATCCTTAGCGAAAGGTCAAAAAAGACTTCTGAGGAATATTTTTTGTTTCGTTTCGAGTGCTGGGGAGACGAAATCGGTTAAGCGGTGAAGTTGATAAGTGGGTGAGTGTCTGGAACTGAAACCAAAATGAATGTCAGGCAGAATATTTGCTTTTTGAGCTGTTGGCATTAACCATTTTAGTATTATTTTTTCAAACATTTTACAAAATGCCAGTGGTGTTGGGAGGTTTTCCAGGTTTCAATATTGTTATTATGATAAAATGCTACCAAGCGGGAGGTGAATAAGATAATCAAAGTAAGGCGTTGAATATATAAGTCAGTTCGTGTCCAGACACCGTAGTGGTCACACGCATATTTCACGATACGTTTTAATACCTCTCGATAGCAGTGAGTGAATCAGCAATTACGATGTGTAACACCATACGGTAAAGTACCTATTTTATCTAAGCACAAAGTTCTCCATCATAATTACCGTATCGCGATCCAAACCCGTGCCTACGTGTGATAAGCCTACTATCGTACACTGATAGCCACACACCCCGATCATAATGAACTCATCATCATCTAAGCTCGGGCTCGCTAAATCATCAACTTCTAGCACGCACACTGCTAATACGCAAACCAACAATAATAAATCAATCTCGAATACAAATAAAAACCGCATAAAGAGCGTTTTAAATCAATCCAACACTTCAAATGAGGTTTTCAG